TCCTTTATTACCCAATGAGTTCATAATGGGCCTGAGGCTGACTTACATTTCTGCGTCGAATCAACGCCATAGGTACGGTGTAGCCACATACCATACGCAGTAGCCTGAAGCGCACCTCCCCAGAAATGTAACTACACGTTGCAGCGACACACAACACAACAACTGTGATTGGTCCGCTTGGTAGCATCGCACATCCTCCTACGCAAATGTTTGGTTGTTGTTTGTCTCCAGCTGAAGCTATTTTACCGTGGAACAACTTGTGTTTAGCTTGTTGCTAGCCTGCTGTTTTTGCCATGGTTGCAGCTTTCATACTATTAAAAGAAATAAAACAGATGCAGCCATTCACACTGGAGCTAAATGATATTGGAAAATTTCAGATATCATAACGTGATTTTTTTGCAATAAATTTTGAGATATTTTTAAAGCAAAAAATTAGTTCAAAATACATTTCTAACAAACCCGTCTGACTTAAAACAGCAAGGATGAAAATGATTATGATTGGCTTGGACAGTGCATGTAGAACTCATGCAAAAGCAGTGGTGGTAAGCTTTAAATGTATACTAGATAATCTTGAGAAGGAACAATCACTAAAATTACAAAGTTTACTAAAGTTATTTTTTTCCTATAATGGAGTAAAAATGTTTTAGCAAAACAGAAAACCACTGCGCTCAGCTAACTAGCATTTTGGCCGGTGTAATTGTAGAGTGATACAGACACACCAGCACATACGTATAAAAGCTCACAATGGCGTAGGTCACTTGTGTAGGCTGCCGCATAAGCTCTTTGTAGTATAAATCAGCCTTTAGTTACAGATGTGACTTGCATTTCTGATCAATCTGCAAAGACATATATAAGGTATTCAAGTTTTTTGCCATATAGAAACCGAACAAAAGCAAGAAAGAAATTAACTTTGTTGAATTGGCCCCTGGAACTAGCAAATACAACAAAAAAACATCCACTTTTTTAGAAAACATAAAATATACAAATAATTTCCAGACCTTTAACATGAGCCTACATGATGCAAGCCCACTAAGGAGAAATGCATCTTATTCTTACTCAGTATTGTGTGACAATAAAGTGAAAAATCTGTTTATTATACCAATCTGTACAATAATTTCACTGAACCCATTCGGGTTAGACCATTTTTATTGGGTACAACAGCTGGCCTGTCAGAGTGGTGATAGTTGCATTATTTCAGACTACAAACTTACCAAAACATTATTACACATATTAGCTAGTTGATATTTAGGGCATGTGCTAATAAGTTATCTTGATTGTGTTTATAAGCAGGACCCTGCTTGCTATAAGAAAGCAAGCTGAGCTGTACTAAAAGCTACCAGTTAGAACACCCGCACTAATTCTAAGCGGGTCTCATGTAGAATTTCTGAACTAACTGGTTGGACTGGCTTTATTATTAACAATTGAGAGTTACACTTAATGCAGACAAGGTTAATATGACCCACAAGTCATCTTCAGCTATTTTTCCATCCCAGCACAAAGAAAGCTGCTTTTATCTGCATGTTTAATTCAACAGCCTTACATCTTTTTACTTATGTCTCATTAGATCATTTATGAAAGTTTTAGTCTCATCCTGGGCAAACTACTCTATGTACAACTCAACAGTGTGAATTTCAGAGCTCCTGTTAACCTACCAGAACAGCTAAACTGCAAAAAGTGTCAATCTTGAGCTTTTGAGAAGAAAGAAATTTAAAACAGCATCCATTTTGTGGGAAGGTGCAATTTTCAGGTCAAGCCATTATAAAATTGCATAAACTATTCTATTCTTTAGTTTAAGATCCCTGGAAAGCTTTCAAAATAAGATGACAGATGGGCAGTGATTCTACTAAAGGTCATTAGCAAACTGGAATTTCAACTACACCAAAACTCTATCTCCAGTAATTTAAAACCTTTATTCAAATATTTTCAAGTACTCATTTAAAAATAAAACTGTAGAGAAAATTATCCTACCACATAGACTTGGGTGGTGTCTAATTTTTCATACCATCATACCGTCCATACATTATACCGTATTATTGCCCAAATGTACTACTACAGGTATGCAGGTATGGGCCATTAAAAATGTGATAGCAGAACATTTTAATTAATCATTTCAGATGGCAACCTACAGGACTTAATAAAACACCCATAATGAAAAATTCAATGCAAATTTATATTTGACAGAAATGTTATTTAATATAAAGAAACAAAAAAAAAAAAAAAAACCATCACCATCACTGCCAGGAACTCCTTATTAAAATAACCACTGCACCAAACATTAATTTGGAGCATATGATTAAATACACATTCCCCTTATGTCAATCAACTTGACGTTTTTAAGTATCCATTTTATAGCTATGCAATTCATCTGTAACTAATAAAAACTTGGATACATAAAAAGAAGAATCTCTCATAACACTTAATCAATTCCACGTTCAGACATCAGATTCCTCTGAATTCCGCTACATAAACTCAATTCATTCTTCATCACATGTAATTAACCACAACACAAACCTGGGTTTCATAAAGACTTTTTCCATGATTAACTCTAGGTGAGACGACAGCTTCTAGAACATCAAAATCCTGAAATACCGGGTTTCCCAAATTAGGCATCGCCACAGAATGACAGAACACACTGACTGGCTTCATTATGATTATGAAAAGAAAATACAGCTACAGATTTTTCTTTTAGCCGTCATATTTACATCTGAATATTCCTAAGATCATACACATTTTATTTTGACTTGGTAGAATTAAGGGTGTGGGTTCGGTTTCTACACTGGTAGGACCAAGCCAGCCTCGAACACCCCCCTCCCCCAAAGGCTCTTAGGGCACCAGATCCATGGCCTGACCCTGGCCCCAAGCTTCACTCTCAGCAGTACACCCATGTGTGCATCTCAAAAGGAGAGCATGATGGGATATTCTAAAAGAAGCACTCCAGTGTAACTGCAATCATACTTGGCAAATAAAGTATCGTTTCATTTCATCTTTAAGCGTGACTACCTTAGTTGCTACATGTATACTGTGCTTCTAGTCACTGCAGATCATTTCCTCTCAATCCCACATAAAGGATAAAACACACACACACACACACACACACACACACACACACACAATGTCCAAAGAAACAAGAGGCATAGTATAAGAAAACCATGGATGGGTTTTTACCCAGATAATACAGTAACAAAGACAGCATCTTGGGTATCTTAAACTTTCCTTATTACTATATAATAAAGTAACCTTGGCATCATAATATAAATTTCAAACCTGGAAGACTGCCATAAAGGTTTTACCCAGTAGAAACCTCCTCGGGAATCAAAAACTAAATCATTTATTACTGTTCTACATTTAACTATCCACGAAAACATTTTTAGATAAAGTAACGCTTACTAATTTATCATACAGGCATAAAAACAGCCCAAACTTAAAAGAGAAAAAGGTAAACATGGGAACACTGACAACTAAACAGAACACATCGTCGCGCCACCACGTAATATCGCCGCTGGTTACCGTTTGTACTATTAACGGTAATCTTACTTAGTTACTGTGATTGGTGTCTATGAGTGTATCGGTCAAGCGAGTGATATATAAAGTGTTTCTTCGGTGTGTTAATTAATTCTGTTAATATTTTTCTATAGCTGATGTGTATTTGGAGTACAGAAGTAGTGAAATAATCTACATGCAGATAAGCCATATATACCTGCGAAAAGACGTAATGAACAGAAGTACACCAGTCATGTCTTAATAAACGTATTCGTTTGAGTGAAAATGAGTTTGCGGGCAGCGAGAGTGCGAATAAAACAATATGCAAGCGCAACCGTGAACAGATTTACTAACAGGGTGTATGTTAAACGCAGGGTGCTTATTCAATTCAGCGTTGTTTCTAATCCTTTAAAATCAATCATCATCTGTGGTATGATTTAGTTGGTATGATTGCCATTGAGCTCTCACGAATTTGGCAAAGTATCAAACGTGTTTTAATAGATTTCTAAATCACCCTTAGTATGAATAAAGATTTAAAGTTGTACTGGCCCCAAGCAGAAATCAGAATGCAATTATGTTTGAAAGAAAACGTCAAGAAATCCCAGAACTCGTTTGCGGTTGAGCACTTCAAAGGGGACCCCCGCTCTGCATCAAGACAATCACAAACAGGTTAGCTAGCTACCGAGCAAAACAATGTTACAGAACAACATGCACAGTAAGACATATCTCGAGCATAGCACACCGGAATATTCTCTGAACAACACAAAATAAATGCAATTCAATCAAAATGCATTACTAATTCGAGAACAAGTTAACCCAAAAGTCAGTTTCTGCAACTCAAAGTTTTTTTCTTCATTAGTACCTGCGTATCTAAGTGACATGTGACTATCCGGCTTTTGTCTGCGTGACCTCAACTGACGGCAAAACAGCCCGTCAAACTGGAGTTAAGTATTTTTCCCATCACACAACTCACTCAAAAGTATCCACATAATATTAAGTGTAACCTGCAATCAGTTGAGTTAGCCCTCTTAATAACATGAAAAGATCAGTATTCGGGGGACAGATATCTTATTAACAGACCTGTAGACCACCTGAACTAGTAACAACTGGGTATGTTAGATTCCGTAAGCAGTACACTCCTTTACACATAGCTATCTAGCTAACTAACTTGGAAACGACTTTCCGACAAACTAGTAGTTAGCATCTTGAGTTCATCCATGTACGATCACATCTAATTTTCGAGCCGTTTTCCTATCCCAAAGTTCTGAAATTCGCCCCCTATTTCGCCCCCATTTCAGGGCCGGGAAACCTCAGCATTCACGAACCGAGCCCAGTGTTCCCGGGGGGCAGCGTTTGACAAGTTAGTTGGCGTAAACTAAGCAGCCACCGACACGTCTATCACGGGCTTTGTGAGAACATCCTCCACCGGGCTACACAGTCGCCGCTCACGGCATGTATTTCTCAAGCCTCCTGCGCGAAACGTCAGGCAGCGTCGGTACTTTCTGCTCAGTACCACTTACCAGCGTCCCCCTGTGTTTTCATTGTGGTTCTCAGGAAGGTAGAGCCGGCCTTCCTGCGTCTTGTGGTCCCTCCTGTCGTTAGCGTGTCAGTTCAACAATCGCAAAGTTTCTTTGCGCTTCTTCTTTACTTTCCCTCGGTCTCTTCGCTCCACCGTGAAGTACTTCCACGGTACACTGCTTCGCGCACCGCCTGTACCCCGCTTCTTCTGAGTTTGCACGGCAGTGGCGACTTACTTTCTTCCAGTCACCGGGGCGTTAAATGCGGCCGAGTCTTGTGTCAAACTCCAGGTGTAAGTAAGAGTCCCGGTGGAAGCCTTCAAACTAAGGGAGACGTCTCTTCTATCTTGGCCGTTACTCTCTTTCCCAGTGTAAAGTGGCATTTCAGCTACCACTCAAAGTATTTTCCCGACTCACAACAACACGCGGTCTAAATTTCAAGAACTGGTCAGTTTTATTATTCTCTGTTTCCCCCAGACTTTCTCCAGTTCTCAGCGATCCCTGCCCTCAGTTTCTCCCCCCGTTTCTTTTTTCTCTTTCTCGGGTGTCGCGTTTCGCACTCTATGCTGCACGGGGCCGCCCACGCGGACTCGAGGGGGGGGTGCTGATCACGCCCACTCGCAGTGAACCGGGTTGGCGTCACTGCAGCGCGAGGCGTCGCCTTGGAGACCGCCAACTTTGACGCGTCGATATGTCGCGCGCACGCATCCTACTCGCGGCTGTCGACGTGGGATGTTATATATATATATAACCTTTGAACAAGCGGTAAAAACGACTATAAACGATATATATATATTTTAAAAGAAATTCTAGGTCTGAATATTTTTAAATGGACGGTCTATATTTGAAAACAGCGTGCACGTACATTAAAACACGTAATTCTTGTAGGTCCACATGTAAGTTTGCATGATTTAATTGCACAGTTGACTTAGTTATTGCCTAGATATTTTTGTTTGCGTCATACAGTATTTAATTTATATAGTATTAACGTTTCTTATTTCCCCAGGATTGACGGTATTTATAACATGGTGTATCTTGCCATATGATAGTATTAAAAATAACAATTTTCGCCATAATTTTCGCGATGAAGGTCACCGTCATAGTAATAATTCATGTTAAAAAGGCAATGCAGCCGGTATTAAATCTGCATATTGGTATTAAATAAGACGGCTAAATAATGAAATTAATCAAAACACATACATTTCGGCAATGTACCACACTTAGGGATTCCATTCAACCTTTCAGGAGCAAACTATGCCTGTGAATCATCTAGGTATGCCACGTGACAATTAATATTATGCTATTTCTGAGAAGCATTTCTTTAAAACATTTAAACCATAATTTTTGCAAAATGTTCTGCTAATAAACATTAAATATGTAATATGCAGTCATTTTTAAAGATTTGTGAAAGAAAATGTAATTTATCTTAACATAAACATCATTCAGTCACTGAGGAGGTTCGTAACATCAGGAGGTTGTGAAGTGCTTAATATTCCTGTTTTATAACATACGACAGTGATATTTATCTCTGTTGCAATCAGTAGAAGCAGAAGTTCCTGATTTGTTAGTGGTTGTCTGGGTTGACTACCTTATAGGTCTCGCGGTTAAACTAGTGGCTTTTGGTCTTAATTGTTATATATCTTCAGTGTTGTGTTGCATATCCCCACCCCTACATCCGAATCATTCAGCAGTCTCTCACTCAGCTTTCCGTCCCGCTGCGGAAGGAGGGTAGCCATGTGTGCTGGAGTTCCCTCACTATTCCCACGAGATGATGGCAGGAGAGACTGATGACATGGCTAGTTGGAAAAGATTGTGAGAGCAATGCTCTTTCCTGCTACTTGCTTGTTTATCCCTCTCTTGCTGTGTAACTCTTTAGGAGAGTCAGTGAATCTAATGTCTGTACCTTGGCAAACCAGCACCATGCTATGCACAGTGTATCCCTGGTCTTTGGTCCTGTAATCCCCCTCATTCCAGTGTATCTGTGTCCCAGTGTCTCCATTCCCTCCAGCCTTCATCATTGATTGTCTTCTGGGTAAACTGTTTATTGTTCTTCTCCTGTGTTCCTGTGTCCATTTCCATTGTAAATAAAGGCTAATATATTTACTTATTCCCTCAGTTTGATGATATTTATAAAAATGTATTTGGTATATGTCCCTTTTTGCCTCCATTGTAATAATAGTATTATAGAATTAATTTTATAATAGCAATGTTTGTATGGTTGAAAATATAAAACTGAATTGCTTGCAATGATCAAACAGCCTTATTATAAATAAATATGACAAAACAAAACAGTCTTTGTCTCCTTCAGTACCTCCAGCTGTCAGCTTATGGTGTGTGTATTGTCTGATTCTGTTTATAATTGCTGTAACATCAAAATTTCCCTTCATTGGATCAATAAAGTCCATCTTATTTTATCTTATCTTGTCTTGTCTTGCATGGCCATTGGTTTAGAGGTTTTTGAGGGAATATTTTGGGTATCAGCCTCGAACAGAACTGACTCCTTAAGGACACTAGGCAGCTAACGAATTTAAGGGCATCCTCTCCACACACACAAAGGGTTCTGCTGCCCCCCCCCACCCCCGTCCTGTTTGTCCCGCCTCTCATTCGTCTCTGTTGTCAGATGAGTCCCACACCTAATTATGGTGACCGCCCAGGAGGAAAAAAAGAGCGGGAAAAAGAAAGAAGCCGTATTCAGGTCAGGGTCACTGAAGAAGTAATGGACTGAGGAGTGTAGTGAGGGCTCTGGCTCTCTGGGCTCCTCTGGCTCCCAGGGAGGGCTGCTCCGGCAACTGGGGAGGGCTGCTCTGGCTCCCAGGGAGGGCCCCGGCTCCTGGGGAGGGCTTCTCCAGCTCCCGGGGATGGCCCAGGTTCCTGGGGAGGGCCCCAGTTGCTGTGGAGGGCTCCGGCTCCCGGGGAGGGCTCTGGTTTTGTGCAGATAAGTAAGCCACCTAAAGATATCCTGCTGTGGAAATGGATGAGGCTTCAGCCTGCTTTTACAACCCCGTTTCCAAAAAAGTTGGGACGCTGTGTAAAATGTAAATAAAAACAGAATGCAAATGCTCTACCATACAAAGAAGAAACTATATCTAAACATGATCCAGAAATGCTGCTGACTCCTCTGGTCCTGAGCTCATTTAAGATGGACTCAGGCAAAATGAAAAACTGTCCTGTGGTCTGACAAATCAAAATTTCAAATTCTTTTTGGAAGGCACCATTAATGCTGAACATGATATACAGGTTTTGGAGCTACATTTGCTCCCATACAGACAACATCTTTTTCAGAGAGGAGGAGGAGGTCCAGGGAGCTGAGGCAGAGTGGTCAGAGGCTCCACTGTCTTGGGAGGCCCCGGGGGCTGAGACTGAGTGATCAGAGGCTCTGCTCTCCTGGAAGGCCCCAGGGGCTGAGGCTGAGTGATCAGAGGCTCTGCTCTCCTGGGAGGCCCAGGGAGCTGAGGCTGAGTGATCAGAGGCTCTGCTCTCCTGGGAGGCCCCGGGGGCTGAGGCTGAGTGATCAGAGGCTCTGCTCTCCTGGGAGGCCCCGGGGGCTGAGGCTGAGTGATCAGAGGCTCTGCTCTCCTGGGAGGCCCTAGGAGCTGAGGCTGAGTTATCAGAGGCTCTGCTCTCCTGGGAGGCCCAGGGAGCTGAGGCTGAGTGATCAGAGGCTCTGCTCTCCTGGGAGGGCCAGGG